CTGTCTGGAGGGTCTGTCTGGAAGTGTCTGTCTGGAGGGTCTGTCTGGAAGTGTCTGTCTGGAGGGTCTGTCTGGAGGGTGTCTGTCTGGGGGGTCTGTCTGGAGGGAATGTCCAGGAGGGTCTGTCTGGAAGTGTCTTTCTGGAGGGTCTGTCTGGAGGGTCTGTCTGGAGGGTTTGTCTGGAGGGTCTGTATGGAAGTGTCTGTCTGGAGGGTCTGTCTGAAAATGTCTGTCTGGAGGGTCTGTCTGGAGGGGAATGTCCAGGAGGGTCTGTCCGGAAGGCTGGAATCGGATCTCTTCAGAGCCGCCCTGACCCACTCTTCCACGCTGGTCAATACCAAGTGCCCACACTTTACCCCACTCACATGCGGCCTGCGGATCGACTAGGCTAGGCGGGCGCAACGAAGCCCACGGCGTAAGAAACTCGCACCCACAGTTTCAACCGCAGCGCCGGGAGATCGCTCTATTTGAACTCCGCAGTCTCTGGCCATCCCACCTCCGATATTCTTATTTTGCCCCCCCCCCCCTTCCACACCCATCCACCTGCCTCCCTCCTCCCCCACCCCCTTTTTTTTCTTGATAATTTCCTCCAGGCCCCGTGATCGCTTGCCACGTGCCATCTTGCTAATCATTTGACGACGCTGCTTCTGGCTGCTTCTGGCTGCTGCTGTTGCGTTGGCAGTGGTGGACAAAAAAATGTTTATCCATTAAAAAAAATTTTAACGGCCAAGGAGTTAACAACAACTCAATATATGACATTCTAGATTTGAAGCTTTCGTCACTGCAATGATTCATACTCTTAGTTCTTTCGGTAAAGTCACGTAGGTAAAAAATGAAATTAAAATTGATAAAAAATAAAAACAATAAAATCACGACGTTTCGGAGGCAACACAAGCGTCCGTCTTCAGGTGAAAGTGTGATTTTATTGTTTTTATTTTTTTGTAATTTTAATTCCATTTTTTACCTACGTGACTTTACCGAAAGAACTAAGAGTATCAATATATGACACTTTGGCCGTTAAAAAAAATTTAAATGGTAAAACATTTTTTTTAAATAGGCAACGTTTCGCACACCGGGCCCTCCTTCATGGCACACACACGAGGCAAGTGGTGACCGCGCCCAGAGTCTCGCACAGCCTGCGATGCGACGAGCAGATACAGGGCGCGTGTAACAACACAGGGGGGGGGGGGTCCGGGGGAGGTGGGGGGGGGGGCGGCGAGGGTGACGTTGGGAGGGGGGGGGGTGATTGGAGCAAGTCGGCGAGCGACGGCTCACCGAGACCTTTTTAACTTGAACTTTACAATGGCAATTACAGTGGCATTACCAAATGCCACCGCCGCACTCACTGGTGGCTTCAATAGCTGCGCCAAAGTCGTTAATTTCTTCTTTGTATTATTATTTAGTTGTTGTTGTCGTCGTCGTGGGCGAGTGTGTGGGCGCGCTCATTCGCCGCAGCGGTGGTTCGTAACGCGGGTTTCGTTCACTCGTCGCGAGCGGCGACGGCTCCGATTGGAGCGACGTACGGCGCGAAAGAAGTTCAACATGCGCGCGCGGCACGAAACGTGTCCGGATCGGGTCCTGCGCCTCCCCGTGCAACTCCGCGCCCTCGCGAGCCGAGTCACCTTGCCCTGTAGGCGCGTGGATGCGTCCGGCCACCAGCATCAATGACCATCATCTGAATCGGTTTCGGGCCTCCCGTAGGTCGACTCGGCCTCAAATGAGTACCTGGTGCGATGCGTAAAACATGGCAAGTGGGGAGAGGGTGGTGCTGGCCACCGAAGCCCCTCGTGTGCCGTTCCAGTCTTCATAGGTGCTCGGCAACAGCACTTGCCCCAACAGTCGGTGAAAGCTATACGGTGGATCTTTGTGTGTGTGTACGTGCTCAACAGCGCACACTCATTGACCTCACACCCCCAGTAAATACCTCGGGATTCACCGATCGTGTCCAGGGGGGTTAAGTTTTCCGGGGTCTATCGCTGTACCGGTAAAATGTCAACAACAAAAAACACCTCTCAACCCTCCCAAGATCAATTAGCCCCGGCGGCGATGCGGTTAATCAGGCCGGCCTCATTACCGACAAGTCTGAGCCCCTTTCGTTTAAAAAAAATTTCCATCACCGAGCAATAGGACCATCACTCATCACCCCCCCCCCCCCAAACGCCACGTCTATAAAGGCAAGAGTCGCATTGCCGTGCCCGAAGTGGCATTTCGTCGCCGAAATATGTCAAAGTGTTGAGTAGCGCACACAAACAACAATAATAATAACGCTTACAGGACGAGGTCGTTCATGGGGGCTTGATCAGCCTCCCGTGGTCGCAATATGGTGCCGCATATCTTCTTGGTTCTTTCGGTAAAGTCACGTAGAAGGGAAATAATAAAATAATAAAAATAAAACATAATAAAATAATTCTCACGACGTTTCGGCCACAACGCAAGCAGCCGTCCTCAGGTGAAAGCCAGGTCTGTCGAGGCGACAGCGTCTGAATGAAACAGCACACGTGCTTGGAGCATATATATAAGCTGGGTTGGAAGGGGGGGGAAAGAGCGCCTTGACAAAAAAATATACATATCAAGAGGCATTTAGCATATTTATGGGAAATGCAGGTATGTGATTAGTACTACTCATGCCCGTGCATTATGCAGACGCTGTCGCCTCGACAGACCTGGTTTTCACCTGAGGACGGCTGCTTGCGTTGTGGCCGAAACGTCGTGAGAATTGTTTTATTATGTTTAATTTGTATTATTTTATTACTTCCCTTCTACTTGACTTTACCGAAAGAACCAAGAAGATGAATCCCTGCAGTCACGAAAGCTTTAAATCGAAATGGTGCCGCACACTTATGGTGTATGGGTGAGTGGGGGGGTACATCAAGATGTATAAAAATAACGCGTTCGTCAATCAAACCCATGAGCTTCCTTACAACTCTACATGGTGAAGTATGCAGTCGACGACGTTTCGAGCGATGGCCCTTATTCGTAGCACAAAACATGGATTGGCCAGAGGAGACGGTGTATGTACGCCGATTTTCTTTCGCACCGTACGTAGCCAAACGTGCTAATTGCAGGTGCGAGGGAAGGACAACAAACTAAACACACGAAGAAGTTATCAAGAAATGAGTTTTCAATTTCGTATAGCGGAGTAGTGTATAGTGTAGTGTATTGTAGTGTATAGTGTAGTGTACTGTAGTGTATAGTGTAGTGTATTGTAGTGTATAGTGTACGTATGTAAAACTTCTTTAGCAGGGTACGTACCCAACCGTACTAATCGTAGTGTATTGTGTGTGTATGTATAGTAGTGTGGTGTACTGTAGTGTATAGTGTAGTGTATTGTAGTGTATAGTGTAGTGTATTGTAGTGTATAGTGTACGTATGTAGAACTTCTTTGGCAGGGTACGTAGCCAACCGTGCTAATCGTAGTGTATTGTGTGTGTTTGTATAGTAGTGTAGAGTGGTGTAGTGTACTGTAGTGTATAGTGTAGTGTATTGTAGTGTATAGTGTACGTATGTAGAACTTCTTTGGCAGGGTACGTAGCCAACCGCGCTAATCATAGTGTATTGTATGTGTTTGTATAGTAGTGTAGAGTGGTGTAGTGTACTGTAGTGTATAGTGTAGTGTACTGTAGTGTATAGTGTAGTGTACTGTAGTGTATAGTGTAGTGTATTGTAGTGTATAGTGTACGTATGTAGAACTTCTTTGGCAGGGTACGTAGCCAACCGTGCTAATCGTAGTGTATTGTGTGTGTTTGTATAGTAGTGTAGAGTGGTGTAGTGTACTGTAGTGTATAGTGTAGTGTACTGTAGTGTATAGTGTAGTGTATCGTAATGTATAGTGTAGTGTATCGTAGTGTATTGTGTGTGTATGTAAAGTAGTGTAAAGTTGGGGAGCGGTAGTGTAGCGGTTAGCGCTACACTGCGCTACGAACCTGACGACCCGGGTTCGTTTCCCGCTCACTGTCAACACCAGTGACGATTATCTGAACCGGTCCTGGGCCTCCCCTATGTCGACTCAGCCTCAAATGAGTACCTGGTGCGGTGTGTAAACATTGCCACTAGGGAGACAAAGGCGGCCGGGCGTGGTGTGGGCGACTCACTCCGTCGTGCGCCGTGCCGGCCTTCATAGGTGCTCGCTAACAGCACTTGCTCCTACAGTCTGTTAAGGCTATACGGGGGATCTTTGTCTTTGGTATAGTTGGAATAGTCAGGGGCACAGGTGTTGGTGCATCGGCCAGTCATCTCATTCAGTCGACCCATGCCAAGCTGATGGGTCCGTCCCGTGACCTCCTGCCAGCGGGCGTTCGACACTTGACGTGGCCTCAAAGTGAACTTAGCCTGGCACAAGCACCGTGGTGACGTCACCGCCACTTCGTGGCGATTGGCGGTGGTTGTTGTTGTGTAGTAAAGTATAATCGTGTGGTGTGTGTGTAGTGTAGTGTGTGCACAGCATGTCATACCTGGCACCCCCTTATCAGTGCCCTACCTTATTACAGACCACTTCAGACCGTTTTGGTGACCCCGTGGTGCCCTTCTAAATCTCAACGTTCATCCTACAAAGTCCCATCCCAGGCGATAAACACAAACAAATAAGACAAACACTCTTTGGTTCTTTCGGTAAAGTCACATAGCTATAAAATAAAATAAATCACGACCTGATGACGGACGCTTATGTCGCGCCCGAAACGTCGTGATTAATTTTATTTTCTACCCACGTGACTTTACCGAAAGAACCAAACACTATAGATTCCTGCAGTCACGAAAGCTTCAAACCAAAATAGACAAATATTACTTATTTATTTTTGCCCGTATTGAAACGGCGTTACGCTGTATTTACCCCCCCACCCCCCACGCAAACACTCAACGTCCCTGTACAAGAACACGGACTGAGACCAATACGGCCTGACAGCTAAGGCGCGTTGCGCGTCGAACTTCTTTCGCACCGTACGTGCGTCCAATCGGCAGCTGTGGCTAATCGCGAGTGGGTGTCCCGCGCGCGTTTCCTTCAGCGGCTGCGGTGGCTGGAACGTCGGCCAACACTCCGCCGCGTCTGCTCAACCCCATCGACCTGGTGCGCGCCCAGGCGGGCCGCATGCTCTCGTTCCGCGTGCCCGACGACACCTTCTTCGACGCCGAGGACGGCGACGCCGCCCGGCTGCGTCTCTCGCTCGTGCCGGCCGAAACGCATCGTCCTCATCATCATCATCATCAGGATCATCAGCATCATCAGCATCAGGATCATCATCATCAGCATCATCATCAGCAGCATCGTCATCGTCATCATCATCATCCTCCGCAGCAGCAGCCTCCCTCGTGGTCGTCGTTGTCATCATCGTCATCATCGTCGTCGTCATCATCGTCGTGGGTGCGCTTCGACGCCCGGGCGAGAGCCATCGTCGGCGTGCCGCTGGGAGGCGACGCAGCGCGGCCCCCGCAGGAGTTCGTGATGGTGGCGCGCGACGCCGGCGGGCTCGAGACGCGCGACGCGTTCGTCATCGAGGTACGTACGTACGTGTGTGTACGTGTGTGTGTACGTGTGTGTACGTGTGTGTGTACGTGTGTGTGTGTACGTGTGTGTACGTGTGTGTACGTGTACGTGTGTGTGTGTACGTGTGTGTGTGTACGTGTGTGTGTACGTGTGTGTGTGTACGTGTGTGTGTACGTGTGTGTACGTGTGTGTGTACGTGTGTGTGTGTACGTGTGTGTGTGTACGTGTGTGTGGGTATAAGTACCTACATGTGTGTTTGTGTGTAAGTACATACGTGTGTGTGTGTACTTGTGTGTGTGTACGTGTGTGTGTGTATAAGTACGTACGTGTGTATGTGTGTAAGTACGAAGCTGTGTGTGTGTTTACGTGTGTAAGCACGTATGTGTGCAAGTGTGTGTAAGTACGTACGTGCGTGTGTGTGAACATATGTGGGGAGCGGTGGTGTAGCGGTTAGCGCGCTGCGCTACGAACCTGGCGACCCGAGTTCGATTTCCACTCACGGCCAACACCGGTGACGATAATCTGAACCGGTCCTGGGCCTCCCCTAGGTAGACTCAGCCTCAAATGAGTACCTGGTGCGATGTGTGAGCATCGCCACTGGGAAGACAAAAGCGGCCGGGCGTGGTGTTGGCCACCCACCCTCTAGTGAACAGCACTTTCCGCAACAATCTGTTAAGGCTATACGGGGGATCTTTGTCTTTGTCTTGTGCGTGTGTGTGTGTCGTTGTGTGTGTGTTGTAGCCAACCATGCTCATCAGAGGTGTATGTATGTATGTTAAACTTCTTCCGCACCATACCTCGCCAACTGCATTAATTGGAGGTGTGTGCGCGTGTGTACGTATTGTTGCACTTCTTTCGCACCGTACGTAGCCGACCGTGCTCATCAGAGCGATAACAACTTAGCGAAAGCACAACCGCTTAAGTGTGTCGACTTTTCCCCTTTTGGTGCAGAAGAGTTGCTAGCGCAATTCGTTCAAATCGCCACTGCTGCTATTAGCAACGTACATGCGGCAGGTGAAACGCTCAATATGTCTCGAACAGCTGATCACTCACATTCCATGACCGCCCCAGTCGAGTAAAAGTCTCTTCTAGATTTTAATCTTTCGTAACTGCAAGGATTCATATTCTTAGGTTTTTTCGGTAAAGTCACGTAGGTAAAAAATGAAAATTAATAAAAGTAAAATAAAAATAAAATAAAAATCATCGACGTTTCGGAGGCAACACAAGATTCCGTCTTCAGGTGGAACCGTCACAGCACGATAGCTGTATCACTTGAACTGTCACCGTACGATAGCTGTATCACTTGAACTATCACAGTGAGATAGCTGTATCACTTGATACAGCTATCGTGCTGTGACGGTTCCACCTGAAGACGGAATCTTGTATTGCCTCCGAAACGTCGTGATTTTTATTTTATTTTTATTTTACTTTTATTAATTTATTTTTTTACCTACGTGACTTTACCAAAAAAAAACTAAGAATATAAAAGTCTCTTGGCAGGAAGTGTCCTTCCTCGCCATCTTCAGGGCACTGATCTTCCCTCGACCGGCGAATGCACTGATAGTATCGCAGCCTGTGAAGGCGTGAAAGCCAATTAGGTTGAGGAACTCGCGGTGAGACTTAAAATAGTTCCATGACGCCTGTACATGAGCTGTTCACGAGGACCTCATTCAAAGCGGCTTGTGAGACATCTTTCCCAAGGTTGGCAATGGTCATCAGTGTCTCATCCAGGTGAACCATGTCGTTCACGCGAGTTGCTTCCAACCAGGACAGGAAACCATTCCATGTCATCTTCTTGGTTCTTTCGGTAAAGTCACGTAGAAGGGAAGTAATAAAATAATAAAATAAAACATAATAAAATAATTCTCACGACGTTTCGGCCACAACGCTGTCTCCCCGACAGACCTGGTCTTCACCTGAGGACGGCTGCTTGCGTTGTGGCCGAAACGTCGTGAGAATTATTTTATTATGTTTTATTTTTATTATTTTATTACTTCCCTTCTACGAGACTTTACCGAAAGAACCAAGAAGATGAATCCCTGCAGTCACGAAAGCTTTAAATCGAAATTCATTCCATGTCAGTCACACGAGAGGCTCGTACGGGAGTTTGTGTTGTCGCACTGCGCTGTTATACTTGCAGCCATCCGTAACACCAGCAATGGAGCCTCCTGCGATCATGCCAGACTCAATGCAGAGATCTCGGAGTCGAGCATCTTGGAAACGCTTTCCTCTTATCGCCAGCAGTGTGCAGATGGTGTGGAATACCCCGAACCTGACGATGACATCATGGGACTCGTCAGAGTGTTTCATGTGATCTCGACAGCCTTTGCACACAGGGATTGGTGAAAGACGCAGACAATCTTTGTCCGTTAAATTTCGATTTAAAGCTTTCGTGACTGCAGGGATTCATCTTCTTGGTTCTTTCGGTAAAGTCACGTAGAAGGAGAATAATAAAATAATAAAAAATAAACATAATAAAATAATTCTCACGACGTTTCGGCCGCAACGCAAGCAGCCGTCTTCAGGTGGAGAACAGGTCTGTCGAGCCTCTGCCTTCTCGACAGACCTGTCCTTCACCTGAGGACGGCTGCTTGCGTTGTGGCCGAAACGTCGTGAGAATTATTTTATTACGTTTTATTTTTTTATTATTTCATCAATCTTTGTCCGGCTTGAGTACTGCACGACGCTCAGTGACCGGTTAAGAACCTCGTTGACAACAGACATTTGTGCCGCTGGAGCATTGATGGTAGGCGGAGAGCCTCCATTGTCGGGGATGACCGTCATCTCACCTCGAGTCAGGATGTTGAAGCCTTGTCCGGCTTCTGATTGACTGGTCTTCTTGTTGTGACATGCGTGCTAGGACCCAAGCTGAGTATTGGCTGCAGTTTTAGATTTGAAGCTTTCGTGACTGCAAACATTCATACTCTTAGGTTTTTCGGTAAAGTCACGTAGTTAAAAAATAATAGAAATAAAATAATAAATCACGACGTTTTGGAGACAACACAAGTCTCCGTCATCAGGTGGGACCGTCACAGCTAGATTTACTGTATCCAGTGAGGCAAAATTACAAGAGGCGAGCTCTTAAATACAAGTTAAGGGGAGAGGGGGGAGGGGCTTATCTGAATGTGGTAGCCAATGAATGGAACGTGTTGGGGTTGGGTGGACGGGGCTAAAAGAGAACAATAGTCGTACCCGGTGTTGGTTGACAATCCAAATAAAAAAATTAACCCGTAAAAACAAAGTTTTTCACTATAAATCCTTTATATGCGTGGCGGCTAGAGTCCTCTCGTCCTCTGGCTTGAGATGACTGCCACCTATGGGTCAGATGATTGCCTGCCACCATTAAGCAATTGGTAATTAAATATAAAAAAAAATATCCTAAAAAGTGTAAAGTTATGGAAAAAAATTTTCACGAAAATAAATTGTCACGCACAACGAGTCTGTGTGCAAAATGTCAGCTCGATTGGATCACGGGAAGTGGGTTAAAAAACGACCGAAAGATTTGCACGGTCGTAAGCGCGCAAGCAAGCAAGCAAGTGAACTTAATATAAAGGATTTAAAAAGGAGAGTGCTGTTAAACGCTGGGGATGTCAACACTCGGTAAAGTAGAATAGTACCTGTCATTTATTTCTTAACTACGTGACTTTACCGAAAAACCTAAGAGTATTGGCTGCAGTATCGGCATCTGCACTTTTGCTTCGTGATGGCCCCCACCCATTGTCTAGCGTTATAAGTTGGTAACATTGTGACTTCCCCCCCCCCATGCATGTATGCATATTACGTGTTATCTAATTAAAAATGCACAGATTAGCACATGACGTAAAACACAATATTGACTTAGTAGATTAAGTCAGAAGTTTTTGGTGCGTTTTAATGTGACAAATAACTAATTGGTTGTTAATCTACACAGGCTTTTGTCAAAATATTGTTCTTTCAGTTAATTACGTTCAAATACACTTGACACATGTAAAAAAGAAAACAAGATTTCCGTCTGTTTTTGTAGATATAATACCACGTAAAATGAAAATGACAAAATATATTTTTTTAAATCCCTCTGAACATTTCGACCTATTATGAAACATGAGTTGTCAAACTCGACGTGCAAAATGTAATTTTGAGAAAATCGCAATGCCAGTTCTGGCATTGTGATGCTCGTAGCAATGAGATTTGAGAGTTCTACTTGTGTATCCCCCCCCCCCCCTTCTTGCCATGACAGCAAAGTAAATAGCCACATGTTACTAACGTAGACATCTGCTCCAGAGAATGAGCTTTTCAATGATGTGCAATTCAGCTAGGTTATTTCTTAAAATGCGGAGAAAAATTGCGATGAAAGATGCTAAAAAAACGCTAATTTAAGGCTTTGTTTACTTGGCGAAGTTTGTATAAAATCGTAAAAACTAACTATTTATAAAATACAAATAGTTATTTTTATGATTTTAATCATCAATTATTGTCAATAACAAAGTTATTAGAACAAAGTTATTGGTAATAATTGTGTGCATGTTATGAAAGTTTACAATTTATGGAATAAAAATGTAAAAAAATATCAAAATTGACAAACTGGACAAAAATCATTATTTTTGCCTGTAGTACATGGCCTTAACTAATAATCTTAGCAGGTACATTAACAATACATTGAGGGTAAAGTTAGTACTTTAGATATATTTACTGAACAGAAATAATACAGAACCACCAGTACTTAATTCTAGATTTGAAGCTTTCGTGACTGCAAGGATTCATACTCTTAGGTTTTTTCGGTAAAGTCACTATTGTTATTATTTTTATTATTTATTTTTATTTCCACCAGTACTTGCCTCGCCTGCCAGTAAGTGATCGTGAGCAAACAGGCTGCTAGAAACAGAAGGAAAACAGAGAGCGCCAATCTCTTCCAGACTTCACTAAGTCACTGACATTGAAGAGCAAGCGTGAACAAATGCAAGAATATGTATTAAATGTATGCCTTGGGGACAAACATCCAATTTAGTAAATTATTTATTGTTTTAATCAACAGCAGAGGTGTTGGAATGTTTAATTTGTGACGTCCGGGCAAATTGGCGTGATTGTGATAGGTGCAAAAACAGGTTTCCTGCGAGAAAAATCAAACAGCTGCTCATTTTGAAGGGGCATCGTCCATTATTTTACGTCTGTTGGTGTAACAAATAACATGGCACCGTTGAAGTTTTGCTATTTTTAAATCCTTTATATTAAGTTCGTTTTCTTGCTTAGGACCGTGCAAATCTTTCGGTCGTTTTTTTAACCCACTTCCCGTGATCCAATCGAGCTGACATTTTGCACGCAGACTCGTTGTGCGAGACAATTAATGTTCGTGAAAATTTTTGTTCCAAAATTTTACACTGTTTAGGGAAAACAAATTTAATATTTAATTACCAATTGCTTAATACTGGCAGACAATCATCTGACCAATAGGTGGCAGCCATCTCAAGCCAGAGGACGAGAGGACTCTAGCCGCCACGCATATAAAGGATTTATAGTGAAAAACTTTGTTTTTACGGGTTATACTTATTCAATCCTTTATATTAAGTTCGCTTGCTTGCTTAGGACCGTGCAAATCTTTCGGTCGTTTTTTAACCCACTTCCCGTGATCCAATCGAGCTGACATTTTGCACACAGACTCGTTGTGCGTGACAATACATTTTCGTGAAAAAATTGTTTTTTTTACACTGTTTAGGGGAAAATGTTTAAAAATTTAATTACCAATTGTTTAATGCTGCCAGACAATCACCTCACCCATAGGTGGCAGCCATCTCCAGCCAGAGGACGAGAGGACTCTAGCCGCCCCTATGCCACGCATATAAAGGATTTATAGTGAAAAACTTTGTTTTTACGGGTTAATTTTTAGTGGTACCGACATCTGGTCAGTCCCAACAACTACTCGCCCATCCTAAAACATGAAGGGGAGACAGCATTTTTCGTCCCCAAAAATTGTTGTTGATATTTTCCACAATGACACTCGTGCTTGTCTTGAGGTAAGAGCGGAAAGATCAGAAGAAATGCTTTTATACTTTATTTATATATTTCACTGACACTTTTTTTTATCAGCGCAGTGTTTTTGAAGGGAACGCGTCGCGGTTTTGCCACTTGTCCTTATTCACCAAAACCCCAAAAAGACAAAGATCCCCCGTGTAGCCTGCACAGACTGTTGGGGCAAGTGCTGTTAGTGAGCACCTATGAAGGCCGGCTACGGGGAGCGGTAGCGCAGCGGTTAGCGCCCTGCGCTACGGACCCGGCGACCCGAGTTCACACTCACGGCCAACACCGGTGACAATTATTTAAACCGGTCCTGGGCCTCCCCTTGGTCGACTCGACCTCAAATGAGTACCTGGTGTGGTGTGTAAACATCGCCACTGGGGAGACAAAGGCGGTCGGGCGTGGTGCTGGCCACCCACCCCCTCGTGTGACGTCCCGACCTTCCTAGGTGCTCGCTAACAGCACTTGCCCCTACAGTCTGTGAATGCTATACGGGGGATTTTTGTCTTGTCATGAAGGCCGGCACGGCACACGAGGGTTGCGTGGCCAACACCACGCCCGGCAGCCTTTGTCTTCCCAGTGGTGATATTTGCACACAACGACAGGTACTCATTTGAGGCTGAGTCGACCTAGGGGGAGGCACAAGACCAGTTCAGATATTCGCTGTCACCGGTGTTAACCGTGAGCGGGAATCGGACTCGGGTTCGCCAGGTTCACTCCCGCTACACTGCCGCTCCCTAACAAAACCCAACGCAGTATAACACACACGCACGCACGCACACACGCGCGCGCACAAAAAGCCCACGTTGTTTTAATCCGGCATGAAACATTCAAACGCACGACCCTCCAGGAGAAGAAGAAAAAAACGAGGAATCCGTCTTCAGACTCGGCGAGGCTTTCTTGTGCACACAAACGACAGATGATAATTACCTTTACAACTCGCCAGCTTAGAGCGCGACGCTCCCGGCAACAGAACTCAAAATAAGTATAACCCGTAAAAACAAAGTTTTTCACTATAAATCCTTTATGTGCGTGGCGGCTAGAGTCCTCTCGTCCTCTGGCTTGAGATGGCTGCCACCTATGGGTCAGATGATTGCATTGCACCATTAAGCAATTGGTAATTAAATATAATATTTTTTGTCCTAATAAGTGTAAAATTTTGGAAAAAAATTTTTCACGAACATTAATTGTCACGCACAACGACTCTGTGTGCAAAATGTCAGCTCGACTGGATCACGGGAAATGGGTTTAAAAACGACCGAAAGATTTGCACGGTCCTAAGCAAGCAAGCGAACTTAATATAAAGGATTTAAAAATGACAACGCTCTCACGACGGAAGGCGGAGGTGAGTCGGGCAGCCTTCGAGTTCCCGGGCCTCATCGCAACGACCGCCGCCAAGAGGCTTTGTTTGACCTATTCTTAGGTTTTTTTCGGTAAAGTCACGTAGGTAAAAAAATTAAATTAATAAAAGTAAATAAAAATAAAATAATCGTTATTTTTATTTTATTTTTATTTTAATTTTATTAATTTAAAATTTTAACCTACGTGACTTTACCAAAAAAACCTAAGAATATGAATCCTTGCAGTCACGAAAGCTTCAAATCTTTGTTTGACACTCGTCCATCAAAGGGGTTCGTCGCCAGCGATCGGCCGGCGATGACTGCTGATTAGCGGCGCGCGCATGAGCGCCTGTTTTGTGATTGCGACAGAATGTCTCGCAGTGGCTTAGCGGAGTCAGGCTAACAGAGGGAGGAGGATGTCGGGGGGGGGGGAGTTGTTGGGGGGGGGGGCGGGGGATTTAATTCTCATTTTCTTTGGGAAGAAATCCACGCTGAATGAGGGTTAAAGGTGGCCCTGTGGCTAACGCGTTGACTTTGACTGCGAGCCACTGACCCAAAGACGCCTTATTGGTCCGCTGGCGGGTGGCATATTTCACCATGTATTTTCTCGAAGCATTTTATGTCTACGCATCATAAATATGCATGACAGCAAGTTGACCGGCGGTAGTGGTTTTTTTTCTCCTCCCTCTTCTTCTCATGGAAAAATAAAATATTCCTAAAGTAGGCTGACATCGGAGCGTGTGCAATAGAGAATATCATTCTGAATTAAACAGAGGGGTTGTATGTGCCAAGCATTCTGCTCATAGTGGACACTACATATGGTGAACACTTGCCATGGTGGACAATTCCCATGGTGAATACCACCCATGGTGGACATTTGCAATGGTGGACAATTCCATTGGTCAACACACTGCCCATGGTGGACACTCCCCATGGTGATAACTTCCCATGGTGGACACTAAACCAGCCTCTGGTGATTTAAAGCTTTCGTGACTGCAGGGATTCATCTTCTTGGTTCTTTCGGTAAAGTCACGTAGAATGGAAATAATAAATAATAAAAATGAAACATAATAAAACATTTTATTATGTTTTATTTTCATGGAAATAATAAAATAATAAAAATAAAACATTATAAAACATTTTATTACGTTTTATTTTTATCATTATTATGTTATTATTTCCATTCTACGTGACTTTACCGAAAGAACCAAGAAGACAGCCCCTGGTGATTTGCCATCGCACTTTTATTCTCATTATATTTTTCCCCAGGGCTCGAATTGCCGCGATTGGAATGCATCAAAATGTCAGCGTCGAACCAAACTTGATGCGACGGCTTCCGCTGTTCAGTCAGCGGTGACTGGGATTAGGTGGTCAATTCGCCGCACCTGAGAAGCCGGCTTCATCATGGGCGGCTGCTCCCATTTGAACCCAGGATGTCAGCCATTACATTGCTGGCCGCAAAGTCATTATGTCACCATGGAGAAAGGCAAAGTGCCCGGACCAAAAAAAAACCACGCACGGGAAACAATAGCTCAAAAAAATTAACCCGTAAAAACAAAGTTTTTCACTATAAATCCTTTATATGCGTGGCATCGGGTTTATTTTATTATTAATTTCTGTTTTTCTTGAGTAAGAGTTTCATTTTTATCACATTGGTGTTTTAAATTAAATATGAATTTTTCTTTTTTTCCTTAAAGTGGAAAATTTTGGAATTTTTTTTTCACGAAAATACATTGTCACGCACAACGAGTCTGTGTGCAAAATGTCAGCTCGATTGGATCACGGGAAGTGGGTTAAAAAACGACCGAAAGATTTGCACGGTCGTAAGCGCGCAAGCAAGCAAGCAAGTGAACTTAATATAAAGGATTTAAAAAGAGCACAATTTTAAACCTGCTCCTACTTGCTGTACTTACTTTTCTACATGGAACTCATTGTCATTTTAATTCCGAGACGTGGAATTTATCCAATTTGAGTGCAGGACATTTTTTTTCCGCGATAGAATTTTAAAAGTTTTTTTTTGCGTATGGCTGTGACCGAGACTGAGTCCATCAATCAACTCGCTCCACTCCCCAAACCCGGGACTCCGAACCGTGCCTGTCGGCGGTACCCGGCCTTAGCCTCTCCTCTCTAACACCACCGCTCGCTCGCTCGCTCCTCTCTCTGTCTCTCCGCCCGGCGTGTCCCACCACCATCTCCGCGCGCCAGGTCCTCCCCGCGCAGCGAGAGACTCCGTCGCACGTCTTCTGGCTGACGCTGCGCGAGCCGCACTCCGCCTTCGCAGCAAACCGCAGCCTTGCCGCAGCGCTCCTCTCCAAGGTGGCCTCGTTCTTCGGCGATCGCGACGCCCGAAACGTCGCTCTGCTCTCCCTCGCGCCGGCCCCCGCCGCCGAGGACGAGCGCGGACACCGCGGCCGTCGCGGCCACCACCGCCACCGCCACGGGCCCGCCGAGCACACGCGCGTCGCTTGGTTCAACGTGTCGCTGGCACACAACCTGCGGTGCCGGTGGGGGTCCATCGCCCGGCTCGCGCGCCGAATGGGCGCCGGTGGGCAGGGCGCGCCCACGGCCGGCTTCTTCTGGGCGCTGCTGCCCGAGTTCTGGGTGGAGCGGCTGGGCGACACGGAGCTCCACGGCGCCTGTGACGCTGCGGTGGGGGGGGCGAGGGCCGACGGCGCCGACGGTGCTGGCCGGGAGGAGCTCGCCGGGGGAGAGGTGACGCGCGTTCCGCTGCACACCAGCGAGCTCAGGTGGGAGAGGCGAGAGGCGGCGCTTGTAGGCCGGCGAGACGCAACGCGTTGTGAACGGACACACACGCGCACACATATATATGATTGATATAAATTTCGATTTAAAGCTTTCGTGACTGCAGGGATTTCATCTTCTTGGTTCTTTCGGTAAAGTCACGTAGAATGGAAATAATAAAATAATAAAATAAAACGTAATAATTCTCACGACCTGGTCTTCACCTGAGGACGGCTGCTTGCGTTGTGGCCGAAACGTCGTGAGAATTATTTTATTATGTTTTATTTTATTATTTTATTATTTCCATTTTACGTGACTTTACCGAAAGAACCAAGAAGATAATTGATATACATACGGTATATTTGTCGCTATGATAAAGTTTTTTTTTTTTTGGGGGGGGGGGGGGGTGGGAACAGATCCCGTCAATATATGCAGGGTGCTTCAAAAAAATGTACGGGACTATCGTTTTTAATGGAAAAAGAACGGATAATGCACTGTAACATGATAATAAATATTCTTTGTTCTTTCGGTAAAGTCATGTAGAAGGGAAAGAACAAAGAAAATGGATCCCTGCAATCACGAAATCTTTAAATCATGATAATAAATGTAATGATAATAGCTTTAAAATGTCAAAGAGTCTCCACTCGTTCGCCATCGTTGTCAACGCGTGGGCCTGGAATCTTCTCCAGGTGGTCTCCAGAGCCCGGAGGAGGCACATTTCTCGTGGCGTTGTTGCTAATTACCACAAGTGTGAACATCTTTTTGAAGCGCCCCGTGTATCCGTCTCCCAACACAAATATCACTGCGCTGCTTGCTCGACACACTGTCCGGTGACGGCCTCCCCCGTGCCGCGTCAGCCGCTTGGTGCGGTAGGGTGGTGGGGTTTGGTTGTGGGTGGTGGGGGGTAGTGGGTGGGTGGTGAGGGTGGGTGGTGGGGGGGGTGGGGGGTGGTGGGGGGGTGGTGCGGGGGTAGTGGTGGGGGTGGTGGTGGGGGTAGTGGGGGAGTGGTGGGGGGGTGGTGGGGATGGTGGGGATGGTGGGGGTGGTGGGGGTGGTGGGGGTGGTGGGGGGGTGGTGGGGGTGGGTGGGTGGTGGGGGGGGGGTGGTGGGGGTTGGTGGGTGGTAGGGGTTGGTGGTGGGGAGGTTGGTGCGGGGGTAGTGGTGGGGGTGGTGGTGGGGGGTAGTGGGGGAGTGGTGGGGGGGTAGTGGGAGGGGATGGTGGGGGAGTGGTGGAAGGGTAGTGGGAGAGGGGGTGGGGGGTAGTGGGGGGGGTGGTGGCGATGGTGGGGGGGGTGGGGGGGTAGTAGGCGGTGGTGATGGGTGGGTGTTGGTCCTGGACCGCTCCGGGTATCGTTCGCCACAGGTTGCCCGTAATGAAACTCGACCGGCCCACAAAGTGTTCACCTCGCCTGGTCTCCCCAGTCTGTAAATAGATGTTGTGTGAGTGTGTGTGAGTGTGTGTGAGTGTGTGTGAGTGTGTGTGTGAGTGTGTGTGTGAGTGTGTGAGTGTGTGTGTGAGTGTGTGTGTGAGTGTGTGTGAGTGTGTGTGTGAGTGTGTGTGTGAGTGTGTGAGTGTGTGTGAGTGTGTGAGTGTGTGAGAGTGTGTGTGTGAATGTGTGTGTGAGTGTGTGTGTGAGTGTGTGTGTGTGCAAAACAACCTCCTACCTCCTCGCGGTGCCGGACGGGCAACACTGTCGTGGACATTGCTGTGGGGGGAGGGCCAATGCCCATTGGCCTCTCCCCTCATGGCGTCTGTGACCACCACAGTGGCTAAACGGGGGCTCTGGACGGGTGTGAGGGGCTGGTAACCCCTCCACCTTCAATTCATTACCACTAAACCACAAATTAAACATAAACCTGTAACAAATAAGCTTGTGCCGGAGGCCCCGGGGGGTCAGGCTTTTATGACGTCTCCTGGCCAAACCCCATTTGGCGGAGCCAGGAGATTGAATTTTCACCCTCGGGGCTCCTCCAGAAACAACAAAAAACCATTGCGGATGGCCACGTGGAATGTTCGAACGCTCACTGCGGAGGAGAGGCTGCCACTCCTCTGTCGGGAGCTGGACCGGTACCGCCTGGATCTCTGTGGCATTCAGGAGGTCCGGTGGACCGGTTCTGGCTCCTGCCACCATGAGGGGTGGACAGTCCTCTACTCGGGGCAGGAGACTGCCAAACAACAGGGTGTGGCTCTTCTTCTGAACAAAAGAATGAAGGGGGCGTGGGAGCGTGGCGGTGAGGTGTGGGAAGCTGTAAGCCCCAGGATACTTTGGGCTCGCCTTCCCATCAACCAGAGGCGAGGAGTGGTGGTCGTGGTTACTTATGCCCCCACCGAAGACGAACATCCGTGGAGGGATGCAAGCAAAGCCGATGAGTCAGATGCTTTCTATGACCTCCTGTCACAGGTGCTGGCTAAAGTGGCCACTCGGGACAGAGTCATCTTGTTGGGTGACTTCAATGCCCGAGTTGGTCATGATGCTGACACCTGGTCTGGAGTGATTGGAAGGCATGGGCCAGATCAGCTCAATAATAACGGTAGGAGGCTGCTAGATTTTTGTGCAGCCCATGGGCTTGTAATTACCAACACGCTCTTCCGGCATCGGCGCATCCACACAACATCATGGATACATGCCGGGTCCAAGCAAGAACATCTGCTGGACTACATAGTGACGGACCAGCGGATGCGAACCCATGTCCTTGACACCAGGACCTACCGTGGAGCTGATCTGTCCTCTGACCATCGACTAGTCATCTGTAAGATGCGCCTGCCTTTCTTCCACTCCGGTGGTGGGTGTACACCCAGGATCCCATTCCAACCAAAAGTGGCCTGGTCTCAGTTAGCTGATGAAAGTTGCAAGCGAGAATTTCATCATCGCTTGCAGCTGGGGTTGGCATCGTCCCCCACTCCACCTGATGTCGAGGGGAAATGGGCGAGGTTTAAGACTGTGACTCATGCAGCTGCAATGGCTGCTTTGGGTACGCGGTCCAGACCTCCCCAGAAACCCTGGCTGACAGAGGAGGTGTTCAGGTTAATTGAGAAAAAGCGTCAGGCCCACTCTCATCGCCTACAGCATCCCACGTCAGAGAATGAGGAGGTTTACCGCAGCCTTCGCTCAGAAGTTCGGAGAGCCGTAAGGCGCTGTAAGGATGGGTGGTGGTCGCGGGTTGCTGAGGAGATGGAGTCTGCCTCAGTGGCCCGTGATCACAAATCACTATTTAACTCCATCAAAAAAGTAACCTGCAGCGCCACACCTATTACCATCATTAGAGGAAAAAACGGTGATCCAATCTCCGACCCCCAGGAACAGGTTTGCAGATTTGCTGAGCATTTCTGTGAGGTCCTGGGGGAGGGAAATTCTCTCAGCCAGGAAAACATCATGGCACAAAGTGGGGATAACCCTGCTGAGGCTGCGGTGCCTCAAATATTGGAAGAGGTCACCCCCTGTGAGTGGCTGGCTGAGGTGCCAGCTGTTGAGGAAGTACTGAGGGCGATCCGGAGTCTGAGACCAGGGAAGGCACCGGGCAGAGATGATCTCCCAAGCGAAATGCTGAGGGAGGGTGGCGTTTGTGCACAGACTGCCCTATATGACATCATAACAACAGTCTGGACCACTGGACGGGTTCCGCAGGACTGGAAGGATGCCCTGGTGGTTCCCCTCTTTAAGAAGGGGGACCGTACCGACTGTAACAACTACAGGGGCATCTCACTCCTCAGTGTGCCGGGTAAGGTCCTGGCAAGGATTATTCAACATCGCCTTGCTAGGCACGCTGAGGAGGGGCTTGCGGAGCCCCAATGCGGTTTCAGGAAAGGGCGGTCCTGCACAGATGCCATATTTTCTGTCCGTCTGCTACAGCAGAGGTGTAGGGAATTCCAAAAAGACCTACATCTCTGCTTTATTGACCTGGTCAAGGCCTATGATACCATCAGTAGGACTGGGCTCTGGGTTGTTCTTCGTGCTTTCGGAGTCCCTGACCCTCTGCTCACGATCATTAAGGACCTTCATGATGGTGAGCGGGCCCGGGTAAAACTACGTGGCCGGGAGTCGGAGCCTTTCCCTGTACACCTTGGGGTGCGACAGGGATGTCCTCTGGCTCCCACATTATTTAACATCTATTTTGACCGCGTAGTTCGTGAAGCCTTCAATAGCTGTACCGGGGGAATTTCCATTTGGTACAGATATAATGGGAGGCTGATCGACGCCCGGGTGCGATCAAGGGATGGCTCCCTATTGGTCAACCACGTTATGTATGCCGATGATTTGGTAATAGCTGCTCATTCAGAAGAGGAGTTGGAGGCGCTGCTGCTGAGACTGGAGCGTGCCACTAAGAGGTGGGGCCTTACCATCAGCCCCACCAAAACCAAGCACCTGCCTGGGTATTTTGTACCATCGGACACTCCACCCCCACAACTCCCAATTGGTGATGGGGCAGTTGTGGAGAGAGTGGAGAGTTTCCCATACCTGGGCAGTGTGCTTATGACCGGCTCCAGTCTATCAGCAGAGGTCTCACTCCGAATCAGTCGAGCGGCAATATCTTTTCATCGGCTGCGTAACGCTGTGTGGAAGCTACCTGGTCTGTCGCTCCGCACGAAGCTTCAGGTCTTCTCGGCCACGGTCATTCCCTCCCTTCTCTACGCTTGCGAGACGTGGACCCCCCTGGTGGAGCATCTTCGCCGGTTGGAAACATTTAGGCTGGCCTGCCTACGATCCATCCTGGGTTTAACCAGGCTGGATTGTGTGAGGAGCTCACAAATCCTTGAAAGATCTGGGCAAAGTCCCATCAGTGAGCTCCTCCGGCAGGCAAGGCTGCGTTGGCTGGGTCATGTAGCCCGCATGCCCAGCCACCGCATGCCTAAACAGCTTTTGTTCGGCCGGATCGAGGGGGCTAGACGGGCGCGGCACGGGCTGGAGAAGAGATGGAGTGATGTGGTACAGGAGGACGTGGAGCTGAGTGGACTTGCCGATGACTGGTACCAGCGGTGTCAAGATCGGCCTCAGTGGAGGAGGCT